TACACGGACAATCGGACACAGTTCAGTTCAGTAAGACTTTACACTCCTGCGGCATCACACGCAACAACAGATTCACCCGCTGCACACATGCAACATGCACACCCTCGCCAACACACCCAGACACACACTAATTCACAAACACACCCTTGTAGGCCCGTACCATACACAAACTTCCTAATACTCTCTATACACAGACACTCAACACCTCTACCCCTATATTACCTCTACACTGCGTACACTCACACTCCAAATACACAAACACACACTGATTCCTATGCTCTACACCTGCACATACACACACTTCACATACAAACAACAACATACCTACGCTGTACATACCAGCACATCAGAACATATGTTCACAAGCATCCATACCTGTAGGGTACACACCCAGACACCAGACACTGACAAACACACACCCATCCATCACATGCACACACAAACGTATTCATTGTACAAACACTCGCAAACACACTCACCCTACTTGCAAGCATACCAACTGAATACGCAAATGCACTTATTCACACGCACACCGTACAAACACACATAGGTACACTCATTCACTCATGTTCTACATACACAAATACACTCACCGTTACACAAATATACTCCTGTTTGCATGCCCATTGTACAAACAAGGCCACACATTCACCAACACACCCTTACATGGTACACACCCAAATACAGCCTCACTCTCACACACCCCCAAATGCACACCTGTTCACCTGCACACTGTACAAAGGCACACTTATCCTGTCAGCCACTCACAAGCACACCCACGGCACATGCACACTCACATTGTACACGCCCACGCTACACCCACAAACGCACACTCATTCACAAACCCACCCACGGTACACACGCAAATCCATACTCGTTCACATCCGCTGCAGAAACACACACACACAAAGGCGCATCCACGAACACACGCTCACAAGCGCAGCCTGCACGCACGTACACATGCTCCCCCCCCCCGGAGACACACACACACGCACGCCTGACACAGACTGAGCACTCACTAGCCGACTGAACTGTTTTTGCACTAGGACAGCCTCACACTGGGGTGAATTTCAAACATGTTGAACAAAACCCGTCTGCAATTCCCCATCCCTTACATCTGGAATATCTTAAACTCCTCTCTCTTGGCCGCCCGCCGCCCCGGCCCTGGCCGGGGATCCAGGCTGATCTCACCATTAATCAGTGAGCAGATGGATCAGTAAGAGGATGGGAGACCCAGGGTGCTGCAGGGAGAGGGGTGGGGGGCTCAGCAGGGGGCACTCTCCCCCCAGCAGTCAGCACTGAGCCCGGTGCTGCAGCGCCAGGCGAGGGGTCCCTGTATTAACGGCCGCCCCACCCCAGAGGTGGCCGCATCTCAGCGTCGGGCGAGGGGTCCCTGTGTAACCAGCCGCCCTGCCCCAGAGCTGGCCGCATCTCAGTGTCAGGCGAGAGGGCATCGTCCCGGACTTTTTAACGCCAGCCCTTCCCGCTCCTCCTGACCTGCCCGCTGGGTAGCGAGTGCAGATGGTGGCGGGTCTCTCGGATTTGTGGCCGGGTTTATCCCAACGGCTCCCACCCAGAGCCAGGCAGGGCCGCCGGGGGGCGGGGGGAATCCAGGCGGCAACGGGGCCCCAGTGGCGGGATTTACACGGCTGCTGTTTTCCGTGGAGAAGTGACCTTTCCCTCCGGGAAACGCAAGAGGCCTGAGTCATAGGGACTGAGGGAGAGAGGCCGGCGGCTGCCAGATCAAAGGGGCGGAAAGGCTCCAGGGGACCAGGGACAAAAGACACACACACACACACACACACACACACACACACACACACAGACGTCTTCGTCCTTGCGTCGGATCACGCCACCAGC